CATAGCAAAGAACGCCTTTACAAATGTGAAATCTGTCAAAAGACTTTCAATCAATTACGTGTTTTGAAAAATCACATGGCCATTCACACTGGTGAGCGTGCACATAAATGCAGTGAATGCAATAAGTCATTCACTCACTTGCGCTATCTGAAAAGTCACATGTTCACCCATAGTGGTGAGCGTCCCTATGAGTGCAGTATATGCAAGAAGACGTTCACACTAAAATCTTATCTGAAAACTCACCTCCTCATTCATAGTGGTGAGCGTCCTCATAAGTGCAATATATGCTATAAGACGTTCATAACTACAAGTCATCTGAAAGAACACATGCCTATTCACAGTGATGAGCAACACTATGAATGCAGTATATGCAATAAGACATTCACGCATTCACGTAGTCTGAAAAATCACATGCTGATACACAATGAAGAACGTCCTCATGAATGCAATGTATGCAATAGGACTTTCAGACATTTAAATAGTCTGAACAGACACATGATCATTCACAGTGGTGAGCGCCCTCATAAATGCAATATTTGTAATAAGACATTCTCACTTTTATACCATCTGAAGAAACACATGGTCACTCACAATGGTGAGCGACTGCATGAGTGTAATATATGCAAGAAGACCTTTACAGAATCAGGTACTATGAAAAAACACATGCTGGTACACAAGGAGAGCGCCCCTTTGAATGCAACATAGCAATAGGACATTCACGCAATTAAGTGACATGAAGAATCACATGCTGGTACATGAAGAGATACATCCCCATAAATGCAATATATGCAAAAAGGCCTTCACGCAATCAAATAATCTGAAACAACACATGCTCATTCACAGCGATGAGTGCTTTCACGAATGCACTATTTGTAACAAGACATTCAGACATCCGAGTAATTTGAAGAAATACATGCTGATTCATCATGGAGAGCGTCCTTACAAATGTGAAATATGCAATAAAGCATTTACACAATCAATCGATTTGAAGACACACATGGCACGTCATAATCGGAAGAGTGAAGAAAAACAATGTATCTCAACATATTGTTAAATTGAACTTAAATATTTGTAAATATGTTATAAAATATTCTTACTTTTAATATAAATTATGAATATAAAACATTAAATAATATGCATTTATTCATTGATAATAAAAGCAATTATTACATATTATAATTATATAATTTATTGATTAGCACTTACGAGTTCTGGATTCAATCCCAGCTTGATATCGAGCAGTACTGACATTAGATTTGTATTTAAGATAATAGATTTCAAATATATATATATATATATATATATATATATATATAAAGCGAGAGGTTTTTCTTCAGATGGTGAAATAATATGATAAAATTGTTCTTGGGCATCCATTCAGTAATTAAAAACAGTTTTATTGAAAAATAATGTTTTGATTAAGAAAACATACATTTCGGGTCTTAATTTGACCTGTCTTCAGTGCTACAATTATATATTTCAAGGTAACAATTTAAAGCAATATAAAAAATAAATAATTACAGAAAAATATAAATAAAAATATGTAAAAAACATAAATCTAATCAATTAAATAAATTTGTTTTATAACTAATATATATTGTGAAAGTATATAAAAAAAATGAAAAACAATATAGACATAAACAATGTAAAGAACTCACCATACAAATAAATTGAAAAAAAAAACTTATGTGAGCACAATGTAAATCATTATTCCTTTTGGGAATACATACGAATAGGTATCCAAACATTAATTAAATATTCGAGGTTTAAAATTAATCAATGATAAATATTATAAATACTGTTAATCATTGTTTCACACCTTCAACACAAGCAATATATTTTTCGAAACATTCTAATCGGATGACCAGTTCCTTCAAAAACTGCATCACCAAATTAATTGAAACTTTTTTTGCATCTCCGAAACCGCTGGACCTGCCTTTGCCAATTTATAAACACGAATCAAATGTTTTTTGAATCACTTAAATCGGTCGATCCGCTTTGATATAGTCGACAAAAAATTCAAGGTTCTTAAAAAATCCGTCATTTCAACATTTCTGAACCAAGTTCAAAATTCAAAAACTGTTCGAAAGTTTTCAGTTGGCAATCGTGCTGATTAGTTTTTCGTAAAGATCGGCCGCACCGTTATCTTCGTAATTAATTGTAGAAATCTTTTTTTTAAAAAAAAAAACTCTATATGATGATAAAAATTATAGTCTAAACTAACATAAATTTTATGGAAGAACAATAAGTGATTAATTATAAAAATTCATTAAATTTTGAAATAATGAGCCGAGCTTTTCGTCATGTCATTTTATGTGCGGATTTGTGCACTCAAATTATTATGATTATAGATTTTCAATCAAATTAATCAATTCCAGATTGCAACATTTTGTCTTTAAATCAATTAGTTATTAATTAAGTCGGTGGTTTCCAATAGGGAATGCAATATCGGTATACCGGTATACCGAATTACCGGTAAACCGCCCGATTTTTCGGCGGTATTTTTACCGGTATTTACCCCAAAAATACCGGTATTTTCGGTATTTTTACATAAGCGCTATTTGATACATAATACACGGAAGTTTAAATTTCTCTTTGAATCTTTGAATTCGATAATCGCATAAACAGCTATATCTTCAAGTGATTCTATAGGATAAACAAATGTCAAATATTATCTCAACTCGTCATTAAATTGAATGTTTATTGCTTTACTATAAAGGCTTTATATCGTGTTACAGTAAATAGAATTGTCCTAATAGATAATGCTGTTTGTTTCATCTTATACAAAAATGTAACGGTTTTTTAAGTGATATTTGCGCCAAAATATTTTATATCATTACCTCTGCGTAATCTTTTTTTTCAACTTTATACAAAATAATTAATAATTATTATAATATATATAATTATAATTATTAATTAGGATAATTACTAAATATTTTTGCTTCTTATTACATTTATAAAATATTATTTTTCGAAAACGTTTCGAAGTTTGAAAATATTATAGAACTATCACATTGTTTCAAATAACAATACTCAACAATTATAGTATCTTATTATTTATCTCGATAAAGTATCGGATCCTAAATAAGTGTTGAAAAAATATTTTTTTAATTATTGGAAATTATTCCAATTTAACACATCGGACACAGACAATACTTATAATAATGTTATATGATCTTTTATGAGTTTTTGGTCTTTCTTACTCATAAGTTTGTTTTTGGTAAAAAGTACTCAATATACTCGATAGTGATAATGAATTAATTAAATTGGATATACTTTTGTTGAATTATTATTTAAAAAAATAAACTTATTGTTTTATTTTATTATTTTTATTGTTTAGTAGAATATAGTTGTAGTTGTATATACATTTTTTATATTTGTACTAGTAACTTTCAATTTTGTTTACGTTTGTTTAAGATAATAAAAATACCGGTAATTTACCGGTATTCCGGTTTTAAAATGAAAAATTACCGAAATACCGGTATTGAATTTTTCCATCGGTATTGCATTCCCTAGATTCCAATCATTTTTATTCAGAAAGACTTGAACGATCGAGATATTATAAAATTAACTAATCGAATGATTTGGCAAAAAAGAAACTTTTTTGGGATAATTATTTAATTTCGGTGATTTTCTAATCTAAAATTTTTGCCGAAGAGTTAGTTTATTTTAACTTGTGTAATTTTTGTCTATTACAATTTGTGTTAATATTTGATTAGAAATAAATGTCATCTACTCATACTTTCGTATAACAACAATTATTTTTTAACTTTTTAACATGGACATTAAGACGTATTGTTTAGTTTTTTGCAAAGGCAGGACAAGCCGTTTCGAAGATACGGGATAAAAAGTGCAAAATGGTAATTCAGTCTTTGAGAAAACGGATTTCTCAAGCGGACGTTCGATCTGAATGATTCAAAAAACATTTTATTTGTATTAACAAAATGCAAGACTGATTAAATTTTTAGGAAGGCAGGACTAGCGATTTCGGAGATCCAATAGAAAAGTAAAAGAAAAGTCATTTGGCGCACAAAAATGATCATTAAACATATGCATATCAAATTAACAGATATTTTATAAAGATTTTAATAATAAGTACAAATTTTGTTTACATTTCTTCGTGTTTCGTAAAAATGTATAACCGTAAACAGAGTGCTTACGCGCTTCAAAAAATTTCAAAATATAAAAAAATATTTCAAATTAAAAAATTTTTCGAAAAATTTTAAAGCTTCTAAAATATTTAAATTGCGGCACGGGAAGTTTCAGCAATTTGCCTTAAGACACGATGCCGTGTACTACTAGTTAACTATATATATATATATATATATATATATATATATATATATATATATAATATGTGTGTGTGTGTGTGTGTCACGTAGTTATACAAAATGTGCTCCTAAACTACTGAACCAATTTTGAATTAATTAGCTAGTAAAAATGTCCTAACTCTTCGATCTGTATATATGTGTTGAGTTTCGGACAAGGAATCCAATAGTATGAAAAAACCAAAAAGTTTTTCAAAAAATTATTATTTATTGTCGACGTTTCGGATCTATGTACGTTCCATCTTCAGCTCTTGAACATGATTTAGATTTGAAATAAACAAACAAAGCTAATATCTTTTGCAGGACATGGAATTAATAAATTCTCCTCTAAATCATTTAATATTAATTAATTGTCTAGGTTATTAATCATTTTGAAATTAATAATAAAGACGTTTGTGGCCAGTTTGTGGCATTTGAAAAAGAGCAGCGCCACTTGCTAAATATCAACGCGCTTTGGTAAATGTCTCATCTTTTTGAAAACATTGCTCTATGCTTCACATGTCAAATAATGAATTAAATTTTAGTTGAAATCATTCGTAATACTTTAAAAAATTGTTGATTAAATTAGATTAATATTTTGTAAGAATAATTTCGTAAATATTTAGTGAGTATAAGCATTAGAAACATTTAAAAATGTCAGACAAAACAATTACGTCTATGAATGATCAGGTAATTAAAATTGAACCACCAGAATATTCAGCAGAAGACATTGAAAGCAAAAATGATGATGAATTTTATGATCTTGATGCTATCGTTAAATCTGAATCGTGTTCTGATGATAATGATACATGTTTAGAAAGATTCATGAACTCCGAGGTGACAATTGAAAATGAAGTCAAACAGGAGTCTTTTGATTGTGACATTTGTAATCAATCATTTGCAGATTCCCATCATCTAATAAAACACATGGTTGATCACAAGCCTAGTCATAGCAATGAACGCCCTTACGAATGTGAAATTTGTCAAAAGACTTTCAATCAATTACGTGTTTTGAAAAATCACATGACCATTCACACTGGTGAGCGTCCACATAAATGCAGTGAATGCAATAAGACATTCATTAACCTAAGCCATCTGAAACGTCACATGTTCACCCATAGTGGTGAGCGTCCCTATGAGTGCAGTACATGCAAGAAGACGTTCACACTAAAATCTAATCTGAGAACTCACATCCTCATTCATAGTGGTGAGCGCCTCCATAAGTGTAATATATGCTATAAGACATTCTTACATACAAGTCATCTAAAAGATCACATGCTCATTCACAGTGATGAGCGACCGTATGCATGCAGTATATGCAATAAGACATTTGCAAGCTCAAATTATCTGAGGAAACACATGAGGATTCATAGCGGTGAGCAACCTCATAAATGTGTAATATGCAATAAGACATTCACACAGTTAGGTAGTCTAAAAAATCACATGCTGATACACAATGAAGAACGTCCTCATGAATGCAATGTATGCAATAGGACTTTCAGACATTTAAATAGTCTGAACAGACACATGATCATTCACAGTGGTGAGCGCCCCCATAAATGCAATATTTGTAACAAGGCATTCACCCTTCCACACCATCTGAAGAATCACATGGTCACTCACAGTGGTGAGCGACCACATAAGTGTAATATATCCAAGAAGAATTTTACAGATTCAGGTAATCTGAAAAAACACATGCTAATTCATAATGGAGAGCGTCCTTACAAATGTGAAATATGCAATAAAGCATTTACACGATCATTCGATTTGAAGAGACACATGGCCATTCATAGTAAGAAGCGTGTTGAAAATTAGAAAAATATCTGTTAAATTAAATTTAAATATTTGTAAACATGTTATAAAATAATCTTACTTATAATAGAATGTATAAATAGTATGAAATATACAGTAAAAATTAAATTATATGCATTTATTGAAAATCAAAGCAATTATTACATATTATATCATTTTGTATTTTAATTTTTATAATTTAAGCATGAATAAACATTGACGAGCAACCACTGGTTTCGGATTCAATCCCAGCTTGATATCAAGCAGAATGACATCAGATTTTTATTTAAGATAATAAATTTAAAATATATATATATATATATATATATATATATTTATATCTTATATCTAAAATTCTTCTGTAATGATGTATCCAAATGTAGATGAATGTATCCTTTATCGATGTATGTAAAGATACTCCTCCTAAACGATTATTCTGATTTTGATAAATTTTTCTGAAGTTTGTTAAGGAAAATTTGAAGGATGTGAATGATTATAAAATATAATATTATAGAAATAAATGGAAAAAAATTATTTTTACAAAAAACGACATATCATTGTTTGACATTGAAAATAGTTTGATGAGAACTCTCACCTGTCCGAAATTTCAATTCAATTATGAGTAATCTAGACAATGTTAGAATATAATATATTTATGATTATGAATAAGAAAATGTAATGTCTACATTATTATTGTCAAAAAAACAGCTAAGAAATCAATTATGTCAAAAATTCATATGTTTGGTTTTGGATACGGAATATTTAATCAAGTCAATGGAGCGTTTTGGGTCTGAATTTTTTTACTGTGCTACAATTTTCATGAAATTTTGGAATTAGGTTCATTTTACTCTCGAGTTCCAAAGTGAAAATAATTTAGACTTGGCCAATTCCTTTTTTAAAATGTTCGTTGAAGTCCAAGGAAAAAATCGAATAATTGCTGAGAAAACCCTAAAAACAGCCCTTTTCTTATTCTCATACAAACGTTTTTTAACTAAAACGTAGAATCAATTGAAGCTTTATTGCTATTATATAAAGTTCATATTAAATTACAAGCACTCACTGTATACTCCTTCTAAATGATTATTCGGATTTTGATAAATCTTTCTGAAGTTTGTTAAAGAAATTTTCTAGGATGTATGTGATTATAAAGTACTGGGATGTATGTGCAATATTGTAGAAATAAATGGAAAAAATGCAAAAAACGACATGCCATTGTTTGCATTGAAAACGAATGAAAACTATCATCTGCCAAAAATTTCAATTTACTTATGAGCCTAGACAATATTAGATTCTACATTATTTTTGCCGAAAGGCAGCTGAGAAGTGCCAGAAATTAAAATAATATAAAATACAGTATATGTATGGCAGATTAAATGATACACTTATGAACAGGATATGACAAATTAATTCACTTAAAATATGAAATTAAGTATTAATCAGGGCCGGTCCTACCTTTAATGCGACGCATGCGAAAATTACGAGCGCACGCCTTAGGGGGCGTCAACACAAGATTCAGATATTAAATTTTGAACAGAGTTTTTTTTTTAATATATAATTTCTTTGCATCTTTTACTAATCTTTCCACAATATTTTTAAAATTCGTAAAAATTTCACTTTGAAACAACAAATGGGAAAGTAAAGATGAATACATACAATTCGGCCCTCACGATATCGATTAGGAGAAGTTTAAGATGCAATTTTGGATATCTTAAATAATAAAAAATTAAATTAATTTAATCCAACATCAAGTACCAGTGTTATGTTATGGTTATGGTTATGTTATTCTGTTTAAAAGACTTCTACTTCCAATATAGTGTGGGAATTGCAACTCATTATTTTATTTAAAGCAGTTCTACATTTAACATCGCTCATATTATAAATCTATATGCATTTTGGCGCGAGGAGTAATTTAAAAAACCATAATTATTATTTTTAGGTAAACGGTAAATATTAGTATATTATATTAAAAAATTGTAGACATGAGTACAGGACAACGTCTGTCGGATCAGCTAGTATATATATATATATATATATATATATATATATAATATTTCATAAACAATTTCTTACCATTAATATTTTTTCGCAAAGTCCTCCCATCTTGTGTCTGTCGCATTTCGCATGTCTTTCGATCATAAATAAAACGACTATAGGAGTCTTTAAGGGTGGATAAAATGAAAGGCAATCTAAAATCGATGTAAGAGCTGCCGTTATAGAAAATGATACCATTTCAAGGGGGCCCCTATCAATTCTGATGCTCTTCTAATATTTATGACACAGTGTCACGACTCGACGACAACTCGACTCATTGCCATTTATTTTTTATAAATTATGTAAGGAGAAATAAATAGTTTTGTAGGTATTTTGGATTGTTATTGAAACTAGTTGTGAGGGGCATATTGTCTTGAGGCAAGTAAAAATTGACTTAATCAAGTGAAATTGAGATTTAGATTTTTTTTATTTTTTTTTTCAATAATTATTACAACTGTTAAATTAATAACATCTAGTAATATTGATAAATAATAACATAAATTTAAATAAATAAAAGTGCAAAGGATAAAATTTACATGAAAATAATATCCGTAATATGATTTGATATAAAATATAAGCAAATAATAATAAAAATAAAATTAATAAATAATATAAATAAAATTTCTGAATAATAAAATAATACTAGAAAAATATTAAAATATAACAAAATAACAATATTAGAAATAGTAAGACTTAGATACTTAGATTAAAATTTTCAACTGTTTTTAAAATAAAGTTTTTGATTACAATTAAATCTAAACATTACGATTTCCAATTGATATTTATCAAACAGACACGTGCTTGTATGCCTTAAAATTGAAACATATTTATCCAAATTTTAATTAGTTTTCATAATTCTACCAATTTTTGTAGGACTGTTTAGTGCATGAACTTTATCACCATATTAGTAAATGGGTCATTTTTTTGGTTTTTGTCAAATAACTCACAAATTTTATATGGAAACACCCCTTTTCAGTTAGATAGGGTGAAACTAGATAAAATTTATTACAAATTCTTATAAACACTTATATACAGTCTGATATAAAAGTTTTGAATAAAACGACTTTGAATTCGATATTTCATCATTCTTTAGCTTTCATCATTCTTTAGCTTTCATCATTCATTAATAGAAAATTCGGGACATTTTTCTGGTTTCTGTCAAATAACTTACAATTTTTATATGAAAGCACCCCTCTTCAGTTAGATAGCGTAAAATTAGATAAAATTTACTACAAATCCTTATAAACACTTATATACAGTCCGATATGAAAGTTTTGAATAAAACGACTTTGTATTTTATATTTCGTTTTTTAGCAATAAATAGAATAAAATTTGAGACTTTTTTTTGGTTTTTGTCAAATAACTCACAAATTTTATATGAAAGCACCCTTTTTTAGTTAGATAGTGTTAAATAATTATTAAAAACTTTGTAATATTTTTCTTGAATGAATTATTTTGTGAAATATTAACCATCTGCTGTATAAAATACTGGAACGATTACATATATCATAAATGTAGTTCTTCATATTATTTTTTAATTTAAATTAATATTAACATTTTTTACACAATTAGACAAGCTTTGTAGACTGCTAATTATTTTTTTTTTGCTAATTTTAAAGCCATTTCTAATTGCTAATGGTTGGCTAATCTTTTGCCATCCTAATGAAACGAAATAGAAAATTTGGAACATTTTTTTGGTTTTTGTCAAATTAGCCACAAATGTTATATGAAAGTGCTCCTTTTGAGTTAGCTTAGGAGAAACTAGATAAAATTCACTAAAATTCCATGCTCTTCCAAATAAAAGTTTTGAATAAAACGACTTTGCATTCGATTGTTCATTATTATCATATTTTATTTTCATATAATTGCTAGGAAAGGGCTATTTTCAATTCAAACCAAATTTTGGATGTAGATTTTTAAGTGAAAATGAATATTCCTACTGCTTGATATCAGGCTGTCAGTAATTCGATATTGAACCGACCCTCGTAATTATAAAGCCGCATGTTTTGTTTACATTGTTTAATAAAAAAAATCAAATATAAATTATATTACTATAGTGATGAAGCTAGTTTTGCAATTCTTAATCAACAAGTTAGTGATAACATTCTTCTCAGTTTTTTTATAATTTTTATAATTTTTATCTTTGTCATAATTTTTATATTTTTTATAATTAATTAATTTATTCAATTTAATATTTAAAAATTATTTTAATAAAAAAGAAATTTAATTAAAATAAGTTAACTTATTATTCGAATTCTGGTAAAAGATAAAATTGGTCTTTTTATAATTTAGTTGAAAACTTAAATATAAATATATACTAATTATTTCTTAATTATATATATATATATATATATATATATATATATAATATATATATATATATATATATTTAATATTATATATATTTAAATAAGCTATCTTAAATTATTTCAATCAGATGAAAAATTTGGTTTAATTTTTAATTTGATTTAATTTTTAATTTGTAACAGGAAAAATTTGGTTTTTATGGTTTAGTTAAAAATATTTAATACGTATAAATTTACATGAGATATATTTGAGAATATATATTTATTTACTTGTGTTTTCATAAATTAATTCAGTCAGAAGAGAATCTGAATTAATTTTTAATTTCTGGCAGAAGAAACTTGGATATTAATTAAATATTTTGGTTATTGGTTAAATATTTACTTACTGTAAGAAATTCTTGGAAGAAAAAACAAATATATTGTATATATATTTTGTTGGGAAAATACTGCCTTCGTATATTTTTGCATTCAAGTCACGTAGTAGTATCATAAATTACTTTTAAAACCTGTTTCAGGATTTACTTTAAAACTACCTGAAAAATGTGTGAAAATCGACTGGTAAACTTAAAATAAATTTACCTGAAGAAATGTTTGTCGAAGGTTGAATGCCTTTTGCACAAAAGAACAAATTTCTTATACATAAAATAGTAATGTAGAAATTTCTTGAAGTAAATCGATTTTTTAAATATACAAACCATACTGAATCAATACTGAATATTTTATAAATTGTATAATTAATATTGATTTCCTTCTTAGAGACTTTACTAAAAGATGATAAAAACATCATTTTAAAATTTATTCATTGTAATAAGTTTTTAGCCATTCAACCAAATATTAAAAGAAAAACAAAGTTAAGTTTAAAAATATTTTTAATAAAACTTGAAACGTACCAATCTTTGATAAAAATTATCTAACAAAAATTAGAAAATAATATTTGTAAATCTACCCCCATTTTCATAATTTTTTACAATACATGTAATACATGTATTTTATTACATAATTCAATATCAAATATCAGAATTATGTAAAAAAATATATAAATGCCCAAAATTCAAGGATATACATATATATCGTACGTGGAATATTATATGAAGACAAATAATAATGATAATGGTAATTTGATTCATGAATATGTGAAGAATATATGGACATTTTGCATGTCGACAGGTTTTTATAAAATAATATTAGGTTGTCAAATATCTCCCTTCCGCCTTTTTGTATTATAAACCAAGAGCAAAAAAGCGGAAGGGAGATATTTGACATTATAATATATATATATATATATATTAGGTAAATCAACCATTATGAAAAAATTCATTAAGTTATTTTCACACTAGTATAAAACAGTGTGTTCAGAGGACACATAAAAAATCTTCTATTTAACTTCCGAAAGGGAAAGTTTATATCGAAATTTCATGAAAAAAAATCAGATTTGCTAATTTTATATCTTCTTTTGGCGATACGTATTATGGTCTCAGAACATACTAAAATATTACATCATTATATTATTAAAAAAATATATATATATTATTAAAATAAAAATCATCAAAGTTTGAAAAAATATGATTATTTGGCATGGAATTGTAGTAAATTTTATCTAGTTTTTCCTAAACTAACTAAAACTAAAAAAATTTTCCAAATCCACTATTGAATCCACTGAGGAATGAAAAATCGAATTCAAAGTCGTTTTATTCAAAACTTTTATATCGGAGTGTGTAAAAGTATTTCCAAGGAAATGTTGTAAATTTTATCTAGTTTTACCCTATCTAAAAGGGGTGGTTTTATATGAAATTTTTGAGTTATTTGACAAGAACCAAAAAAATGTCCCGAATTTTCTATATTTATTGCTTAAGAATGAAATATCGAATTCAAAGTCATTTTATTCAAAACATTTCTATCGGACCATGTGCAACTGTTTGCATGGAATTATTGTAAATTTAATCTAGTTTCTCCTAAACTAACTCTCCCATATGACATTTAATAAATAACTAACTCCCATATGACATTTGTGAGTTATTTGAAAAACACTAAAAAAATGTCCCGAATTTTCTATTTATTGCTAAAAAACGAAATATCTTTTCGGCCGACTATTGTAAATTCATCAAATTTATTGAATGTCCTTTACTGGACAGTTAAAACATTTGAAACATTTCTGTGGAAGAGTATGCCATAGAAATACAAAATATAATAATACAAATATAATATAATAATACAAATAATAGGATGCGTTGATTTTGTAAGACTAATTGTTTTTGCCATTTTAATAAAACCAGTATTAACTAGTGGGGTGGGTGGCATCGTGCCTTAAGGCAAATTGCTGGAACTTCCCGTACCGTAACGAAATGTTCGAGGATTACTGAATGTTTTCAAATAGATTATTATACATATTGTAACATTGTCTAATATTTATAAGAATTATATAAACTGAATTGCAAAGTTGAAATTATTTGTAAAGTATATTAAAACTATAGTCAGAATTAAAAATAAATATTTTCGATATACAAAAAACTAAAAAAAAAAAAAAAAAAAATGGGACAATTTTTTTCCCCAAAATCGATTATTTTGTTCTCGACAAGCAGAAAGTTCTTTGAATCATTTAAATCGGACGCTTAGTTCTCTCAAAAACTACTTTAGATATTTAGCTACGTATCTTCGAAATGCCTGGGCCTGACTTTGCCAAAACCTGATAAACACTTCTCCCAATCATTATTAATTGAATGTTTTTTAGATCATTCAAATCGGATACTCCGTTCTCTCAAAAAGTCGATTTCTATTTTCTGCACTCTTTGCTGCGTATCCTCGAAACGGCTGGACCTGCCTTTTTCAAAAACTAATCAGGTCTTTTCCCTATCGATAGGAATCGAATGTTTTTTTAACCATTCAAATCGGTTGATCCGTGCGCCCGAAAACGTGATTGGAAATTTGTATCCATACATACATACACACACACACACATTCATATTTCTGAGGTATGCCAAAATGTTCAGAAACCTTCAAAACGTCGAGAAATGTAAAAATTTTCAATTCCGATTTTCGGCCCATTACAATAACTTACCCTACGGGAAGTTAAAAATAACAGGTTTAATTTGACCTACAAAATCAACGCATTCTGACAACAAATTTATCAACTAGAGAAGAAAACCATCGGATGTCTTCTAAAAAGGACGTTGTTTATAAGAAATATTAGTACAGCAAATTATAGTTGATGTAATAAAAATTCATTTACCTTATATTCCCAATCCTCTGTCGCCTCGGAGGTCTCCTCCTCCTATCAGATGCAGAAACAGTAGCCCTGCAATCGCAGTGCATCACGCACAAAGTCACCGAAGCAACCAGGGTCACCACAAAGGGCACCGCAAAAAAATGCACAATCACTTTAACCTGTTCGTCTCTATCGTATTTGGTCATAACTATCGTCCGATTTTGTTTTGAATAGTAACAAGGAAACTCCACACCTTCGGTACCATAATAATCCGTGAAATTCCCACAATCTATCCTGGGGGGATACCCACACCCCTTGATGTTGACGAAGAGTTGGGCGTCTTCGACCCGGGTGCCATTAATAGGGTTAAGCATTAGGTCTTCATAAGTTTCCGTAGACGTCATGTTGTCTTCATCAGGTGGCACTGTGTAGGATACATAGATATGTGTGCACCTGTACATATCACTAGTACAACCTTCCCTGCAAGAGCTCCAAGAACAATTATTCAAACCAGCCAAGTCTTCCCTTCTAGAAGTCTGGCAAGTGACAGCCTGCGACGAAAAATTAGCCATCAAAGTCGATATCGCAGGATCCACATACAAAGGTACCAAAAACAACAAACTTGAACCAGCTCCTGCGCTGATCAGAGCCAGAGCAGCAGTCGTGTAAAACCATACCCGTTCCCGGCAACTTCTTTGTTGGGGTTTGCTCTTGGAAGGAGCAGCTGCAGCAGCGGCTAGGAGCAGCAATTTGCGCCTTCTAGCCTCGTCTTCGTCGTCTAACAAAGGAGCCTGGGCTAGTCTTTGCTGCTGCTGCTGATTTGTCTCCGCCGGCCTGCGGTCAAGCAGCAGCTCTGAGCTGCCGCTCCTCATGACGAAGTAGAAAGTTCTTGGCTAATAATCATTGCTCCGGGGTAATAGTTGGTTGGGGTATCATATTATTATTATTATCATATATGGTTGTTCTAGGATTTGATGGGTAGATGCAAAGTGAACTAGTCATGGTGTTGGTGTAAAGTGTAGTGGATGCTACAGTTCGCCAAAATTTGTTTTTAACTCTCGAAGATACATTTTGGACAATTATGCAAGTACTTACTTGAGTTTTGAAACAAACACAAAACTAATACATTGCATTTTAGATCAAATCAGTCACAATTCAATTTCAAAACAACTAAGAGTTTTTAGGACAACTAACACGTTCCACACTAGGTCGAACAAGTACCAAGTTAATTTTAGGGTTGCTAAGGTTTTCTTGCACTTCTCAGTACAACCAGGATCTATTTTAGGTCAAACTAGTACCAGGTTTAATTTAGGCCCACTGATATTAAGGATTTTTTTAGTACAACTGAAAAGTTCCACTTTAGGTCTACCTTATACCTGGTTCAAATTTAAGGCCTGCCAATATTTATTTTTTGAACTACTAGCAAATTTTTTGTTTGTTTGATTTTAATTTTAAATCTTTCAATATTTATTAAGGGCCTTTCTGTCCTTTTTTTTGGATTTATTATACAGATTTTTTTGGTTTTATTGAAGGTTTCTTGGACACCCACTTTAGGTCAAACTTGTACCTGGTACAAATTTAAGGCCTGTCAATATTTATTAAGGGTTTTTTGAACTTCTAGCAGATTTTTTGTTTGTTTGATTTCAATTTTAAGCCAGTCATTATTTATTTAAAGCCTTTCTGAATTCTGGTAAATTTTTTTTGGTTTTATTGAAGGTTTCTTAGACTTTAAGCAGATTTTTCTATTTGATTTTAATTTTAGGTCTATCAATATTCATTAAGGGCCTTGTTGTTTTTAGCCAGATTTTTTTGCTTTTATTGAAGGTTTCGTGGACTTTTAGCAGTTTTTTTTGGTTTGATTCTAATTTTAAGCCTGTCAATATTTATTAAGGGCCTTTTTGACTTGTGGCAGATTTTTTTGGTTTTATTAAGGATTTCTTGGACTTTTAGCAGGATTCTTGAATTGATTTAAATTTTAGGCCTATCAATATTTGTCAGGGGCTTTTTGGTTTTTGGCAATATTTTGCTATGGATTTAATTTTATTAAGTACTTTTTATATAAATCCTGTTAATATTTATTAAGGTTTTTTGGAGTTCTAGCAGTTAATTCGGTTTGGTTTGAATTTAGTTTTCTTAATATTTATGAAGAGTTTTTTGGACTTCTAGCAGATTTTTCAGCTTGGTTTTAATTTTAGACCTATCAATATTCATTAGAGTTTTTTTTTGGACTAGCAGTTTTTTAATTTGGTTTTAATTTTAGGCCTATCAAAAACTTTTTTGGACTCACCATTCCTTTTACACAATAATGTTCAGATAATGAATATATTGTACAAGTATTAATTGTATACAAAATAGACCAAAAAATTAATAAAATCGTTCGGTTCTATTAACACACCTCATTTTGAAGTACTCGTTTATTGTCTCTAATGACACTCTCTACAAAATTCATCTTTATATGTCACTATTTAGAAGTCTTTTGAACTTTACTAACACATTTCACTTTAGGTCAAACTTGTACCAGGGTAAACTTAGGCCTGGGAATATTTATTTAGGGCTTTTTGGACTTTCAAGGTAAAAAATTATTAAGAGTTTTTTGGACTTTTTAACACAACTGACACATTTCACTTTAGGTTAAACTTGTACCAGGTTATTCTTAGGCCTGGGAACATTTTTTAGGGTTTCTTGCACTTTCAACAGTTTTTTTTACACAAAAAGTTTTGGTAATGGAAATATTATAAATAGGTGTTGATTTAGTACCAAGTTAAGGGCCTTTTTTCTTGAGTTTTTTTCGACTTTTTAACACAACTAACACTTTCCACTTTAGGTCAAACTAGTACCAGGTTAAGGGTCATTTTGTCTTTAGGCCGATTTTTTTGGCTTTATTAAGGGTTTCTTAGACTTTTATCAGATTTTTCGGTTTGATTTAAATTTTAGGCCTGTCAATATTTATTTAGGGCCTCTTGCACTTTTAGCAGATTGTTTATACAAAATTTGTATGCAAAATAGACCGAAAAATAAAAATTAAGGGTTTCTGCGATTTCCCTGTATAATTTGAAATAGATCCAAAAAATGATAATTAAGGGCTTCTTGGACTTTCCAGGTTAATTTTAGGCCTGTCAGTATTTTTTAAAGGTTTCTTGAACTCCTAGCTGGTTGTTTAGATAAAAATTGTATGCAAAATGATAATTAACTAATTTTTGGACTTCTCAGGTTGATTTTAGGCCTGCCAATATTTTTCAAAAGTTTCTTGCACCTCCAGCTAGTTGTTTAGAGAAAATTTATATGCAAAATAGACCCAAGAAATTATAATTAAAGATTTTCTGGACTTTCTTAGTTAATTTTAGGCCTGCCGATATTTTTTAAAGCTTTCTTGGACTACCAGCTGGTTTTTTATACAGAACTTCGCATGTTAATTTTTGGTCTGTCAATATTTTTTAAATCCTTCTGCTTTTTACACTTTTTAAAGACTGCCACGAATTTTTTTATGCAATAAGTATTGATTGTATGCAAATTAGACCAAAAAAATCTGCATAATAATTGGAGCTTTTGTAGAAGGTTCACATAAAATCCAATTACATTCGATTTTTGTTTAATAACAAAATATTTAGTAAAAATTGGGTAATTTTGTGATTTACCGATTGTGCCACGTTTCAACTTGTCTCAAACACTCGAACCAGATTTAATATTATAATTTGTACCAAAAAATTGGGGTAAAAATAATTATTTGATGGATTTTACCAAACACTTTTGTCACCAATCTAACAAAAATATCTTTGTAATAAAATAGCACTTTCATATAACAAGAAATAAATTTAAAGTTTAGTAAAATTAATTATTAATTCGTACACGTTAATAGTTTTTGCAAAAACCGAATGTCAACGTTGTAATTAAAACCAGGTCACTTCTTAATAAAATTTTTACAATTGGTCAGAATTTTCCCTAAATCTCACATATCCTAATCATACTTGACCAGTCACCACAAATTTTAGTGTAAATGTTTTTTTTTATTAAGCTCTTCACATATTTTACGATTAAAAAACTACATCAAACGTTTCGGGACGAATCGATCTTCGATTTTCTTGGAAAATTTCTAAAAAAAATTTCCCGTCTTTTAATCGATTTTCGCCCTTATCCCGCAGACCGTCCGACGCGACTGGTCGAACATGACTGATTTCGAATACACCCTTAACAAATACGCATGCGCGCCACTGAATTCCACCCTCCATCATCCCTCTGACAGATTTTGATTCAAGATGTTTCATTCAAGAATTCGCTTACTAGGATAAGCTCAAGAGACTAAGCCTTGTGATATAGATATAAGGGATGGTACTGTATTTTATTGGGGCCAAATCCTAAGGAGGATACAGGGTGAATGGAAATTATATATATATAATATATATATATATATATATTTATTTATTTATTGTATTTTTTTTTCATTTGTTACTACAATCTAACTATATTTCTATAAATCAGAAAATCATAAAAAAATTTCTTAACAAACTTCAGAAAGATTTATTAAAATCCGAATAATCGTTTAGGAGGATTATCCTTTCATACACCATTACAGAAGATAAAATAAAAAAATAAATAATTAAGATAAAATAAAAAAATGAATAAATATAATTATAAGATTATATATATATATATATATATATATATATATACTAGACGACCCGACAGACGACAGTCTTCATTTGTTTTTAATGTCAAACAATGCTTAGAATATTTTCAATGTCAATCAATGAGAAGCGATTTTTTATAATTTATTCCATTTATTTCTACAATATAACTATATTTCTATGAATCAAAAAATCCTAAATATTCCCTTAACAAACTTCAGGCAGATTTATCAAAATCTGAATAATCGTTAAGAAGGTTTAACCTTTCATACACCATTACAGATGAAATATATATATATATATATATATATATATATATATATATATATGATGTTTAATATCCTATGCTAATATTTATGTATGTAAATATACTCCTTCTAAACGATTATTCGGATTTTGATAAATCTTTCTGAAGTTTGTTAAGGGATTTTTTTAGGATGTGATTATGAAAATATAGCCTAGACAATATTAGAATATGTATAATAAATTTATGATTATGAAAGAAAAATGAAATGCCTACATTATTGTCAATGCAAAGTTTCATGAACAAAAAAAAATAGTTTAGCATTTCTTTACGAAAAAACGCTTCGGCAGATCTTTACCAAAAACAAATCTAGTAATATTTCAAAAAGTTTTTGAATTTTTAAAATCGATTCTTTATCAATTGAATTTTATCCTTTATGTCATTGTTTGAAATTGAAAATATTTGACACATTGTTTGGCATTCACAACAAATGAAAACTGTCATCTACCAAAAGTTTCAATTTACTTATGAGCCTAGACCATATTAGAATAAATAATCTTGTATCATATTTTAACTGGTTTTTAGGAATTATAATATCTAAATTACATTTTTTTAGTAATATATATTATTTCCAGGGACGCTCCTGGGGTCCCCAGCGCCCGCATTCTTTTTTTTTCTAGTAACCTTATCCCCCCCCCGCAATTATTTTACTTGTATTAACAGTTTATTAATAAAATTATTATTTTGGCTTTTGAATCGTTTCATTTTGAAAATTTCCTTAACAAACTTTAGAAAGATTTATCAAAACCGGAATAATCGTTCAGGAGGAGTATATTTACATACATCATTACAGAAGAATTTCATATATAAGATTTTAGACTATGATGTCTATTGTTATGCAAAGTTTAATGAACCAAAAAAATTTGTTTAACATTACGAAGAAGCGCTTTGGCAGATCTTTACCAAAAACTAATCTACTAATATTTCTAAAAGTTTTTGAATTTTCAAAATTGATCCTTTATCAATTATAGATAAAGTTGGTCCGTTCCGGGTGCAGAGCAGGCACGGAACAGTTCCTCCGGGTGCTTTTCCGGAAGACCAGACCGTTTCCGGGGTAGTCCTGTACGCCGGAGGGCGGAAGGGTGCACCTACGTGAGAGGTAAAAATAAAAAAAATAACTAGTTAACTGATATTGACGATTATACTCGTCATGGAAAAAACGATAGAATTTTGCGTAGTGACGAGTATACACGTCATGGAAAAACGACAGATTTTTATTTATTGATGAGTATACTCTTCAAGAAGTAGAAGTGCCAGAATTTTGTGTATTGACGGGTATATACGTCATGGAGAAACGACATATTTCTATTATTGGTGAGTATACTGTTCATGAAGTAGAAATATCAGAATTTTGTGTATTGACGAGTATACTCGTCATAGATGAGAAATGTCAGAATTGTGTTTATTTACGAGTATACTCGTTATGAAAAACTGTCTGAACTTTGTGCATTGACGATTATACTCGTCATGGAAAAGTGTCAGAACTTCGTTTATCGACGAGTATATTTGTCATGGTGTCAGAATTTAGGACGAGTATACTCGTAACAAAGAAGTTCTACAATTTTGTTTATATATGCATTTTGATTAGTAATAAGTATATTATCCATGAAAAAGTTCGAACTTTCTCTATTGACGAGTATATTTGTCATGAAGAAGGGTTAAATTTTTGTGCACTGACGCGTATACTCGTCATAAAGATGTTCCAGAATTTTTTTACAGAATTTCCAGAGAAGTGTCAGAATGTTGAGTTGTGATAAGTATATTGGTCATGCAAAAGCTAGAATTTTCTTTATTGGCGAGTATATTTGTCATGAAGAAGTGTCAAAATTTTTTGCAATGACAAGTACACTCGTCATAAAGATGTTCTAGAATTTTGTTTATTACGAGTATACTCGACATGGAGAATTATCAGAATTTTGAGTAGTGATAAGTATAGTCATAAAAAAGTTATCTAGTTATCTAGATTTAGCTTTCTATATTTACGAGTATATTTGTCATAAAATTTCAGATTTTTGTGCAATGACGAGTACACTCGTCATAAAGAGGTTTAGGAATCTTGTTCATTTACGTGCATACTCGTCATGGAGAAATGTAAAAATTTTGAGTAGTAATGAGTATATTGGTTTGAAAAGTTAGAACTTTCTTGATTGACGAGTATATTTGTCACGAGGACGTATTTTTTGCAATGACGAGTATACTCGTCACAAAAATGTTTCAGAATTCTTTTTATTTACAAGTATACTCGGCATGGAGAAGTGTCGGAATTTTGAGTAGTTATAAGTATATTGGTATAAAAATGTTAGAACTTTCTTTATTGACGAGTATACTCGTCATGAAGTGCCCGAATTTTTATTCATTTACCTATGCAAAATGTGACAGAATTTTGTTCATTGACGTATATATTCGTCACGTGCCAAAATTTTATTCAATTACGCCATGAAAAAGTGTCAAAAATTAGCATAGTGACGAGTATACTTATCTTGTAGAAGTTGTAAAATTTTGTGCATTGACGAGTATACTCGTCAACAGTGGCTATTGGCCATTTAAATTGCGATTTTTGAGAAAAATGAAAAATATTTTCAAATTTTAAGATGTTTGAAATATTTTAAGACCATGACTGTATAAAATAAATAATTGTAAGTGGCATTGTGCCTTGAGAATAAAATTCAAATCGATTTATATAATTTATTTCTTTTAATTTATTATTATATGCAGTTAGAAAAGTGGTGTATATATAGTGTAAAATGTATTTGATATCGAGGAACTCCACTTTTCTATTTGCGTTTTAGACTTACTATTTATAATAAGTTATTTAATATTTATAATATTTTGTCACTAAATAGATATTTTATTATTTTAAGGTACATCCCAGTCGGGGCTGTTGATACATCCCTTACAATGGTCAAGAGGATGCTGAAAACATAATATTTTTAAATTTATATATATATATATATATATATATATATACATATACATAATTTACAAATATAAAATGCTAATATAAATGCAACAAGTATGTTGAAATTATTGAATTCATATAAAATATTAAATATAACGAGCAGAAAATTGTAAATTACTTGTTATATTATTAGTTTGTATATTTCAATCATAAGTTAAGTTATTTTTATGGATCTATGTATTTTTATAGATATTTTAGCATAATTTATAACTATATATAATAAGATTATAATATTATATAATTTAAAACTTTATTTTTAGTAAGTCCTTTTGCTTTAATGTAATTTTGTATGTAGTTTGTAGTCTCTGTAAAATACTATGTAAATTATTTATTGTAATTTGTACTACTAAATTATAAAATATTTAATATAATTAAAACTAAATAATTATAATATTCAATCAATTAATATATGTATTATAACTTTGTACCTGCTTATGATTAATAAACAATTATTACACAATAACTATTTTTTTATTTCAAATAATTCATAATTAATATTATGTTATTTTTTACAGTTTAAATAATTTAAGTTTTTTATTTTATTAACAAATATTATTTTCAGATTGAGTAAATTATGTTTGAAAAAATCCGTGGATAGTAACCCATGGATTTAACTAGATTTCATATTCAAGTAAAATATGTTGTAAAAAATCGTAAATATGGTTTTAACCTGATATCATATTCAAATTGCGTAAAATAGGTTTAAATAAATAAAATAGGATAGTTATCCATGGATTTAACATGATTACATATTCAAGTAAAATATGTTAAAAAAAATTCGTGGATATTTATCCATGGATAGTTATGCATCCCCAAAGTTAGATGTTCGGGGTAACCATCTAACTCAGGTTAAGCAAGTTCAACCGTAAGGTTAAGCTAGTTTTTTATCAATTTACCACACCTAGTTATTAAATATTAATTATAAAGTAAATAAAAATTGAAGAATTGTAAATGTTCATTTAAAATACATTGAAAAAATTAAGTAAAATACTTAGTAAGTTTCTTGGAGATTTGAACTCGAAAACCAAAACAAGAACGACTGCCATTGCAATCGAAGCCATTTAACGATCTCGTCCACATCATCCCTGGTATACAACTGTTTGAATTTGGTACATTTGTTGACAATAACTTCACATATCTCCCTCGTCCTTTAACTTGCCGAATAAAAAATCCCTATCGGATTCGAACCAGCATCCTTCAGATCAGAGTCTGGTTTAGCGCTCTAACCGATTCGGCCACGGCGACAAAGTTTTTCCGAAGGCTAATGCTGGAAGGACATTCTTCGCCGACCAACCATCATGATTCGAGTCAAGGTCACCGGGGGATGATATGAAAATATTAAATGTTCACCCAGGGGGTTGAAAGTGGGCTCATTCGATTCCTCGGGTTCTTGCGAATTTCAAGCGGGGGGTTACAGGGGGGAAAATTTTGTCCATTTTTCGCTCAGGAGAGCAGAAAATCGACTTTTTGTAAATTTCACGTATTTTCTATGGGAATTTTTTGAAAACTTGTTATTATGTTATTGTTGTTATGTTATTGTAAACACCTGTACCAAATTCGATCAATTGTTTGGCGTTGATGGTCGAGATCGTTAAGTGACTTCGGTTGCAGCGGCAGTCGTTCTTGTTTTGGGTTTCGAGTTCGAATCTCCAAGAAACTTTTAAGTATTTTAATCAATTTTTTTCAGTGAATTTGATATAATAATTCAATAAATTGAATATAATAAGTCCAATAATTTCTTCCAAAGTTTTTACATTATATAACTGATAATATGGACTATTAGCCTTGTATTTTTATAATAATTTATATATAATATATATATATATTAGCATAATTTAATTTATTTATATATTATAACGATGTATGCATCTAGCACGCTGCGAAATACTGCGTCTGCAATACTTCTGTCAGGTCTCTCGTTCGCACCATGCCTTGAAATTCGCTGGAATATCAGATTCCCAATGGTCGTCTTATCGTGATTTTGTTAATCGAAAGTAGAACGAAGTAATAGTAATCGTCAAAAACAAAATGTTTTTTGTGCACTGTGATTTTTAGCACTTTTTGCTCATATCTCCCAAACAGGTAAACCTGTCTTTGCCAAAAACGGACCAGGTGACAATTTTTTGTAAACAGCAAACAACATATTTTTGCAATGATGAATTAGCTGGGATTTTTACTGAAGGTAGTCAGATAGTTGTTTGTTTGATACATGTGCGGCGGCACCCAAGATGGCCCAATAAAAGACCCAGTAAACATGCGATATGGTCACAACATCGTGGCAATATTTTATTAGGTCGTGTGACATGCGGTCCCCATATTCATTTCGTCGATATTTAATGGATACGGCCGCAAATTTATGTAACTATCGAACAACTATCGAGGTTCGGTCTCTGGCGCACGCGGCGTTCGTGATACATGAAAATCGACGTTGACCCACATATGTTTGTTTATTATGATAAGACCGTCTGACGTAAGGCGTTAACCCCAGTCATGACGTCATTGGCGAATGAAAACGATTCGGTCATGACGTCATACAAAATGGCGACTCAGTTATGACGTAATAGCACCTGAAAGTGATGACGTAATGCAATTAATATTCTTTTCTGTACGAATAAGCATTATTTACGTGAATAATAAGAAATTTTACAATATTTAAATATTACAAATTAGAATTGTAGTTTAGAAATTATAAAATTTTAACATGAACTATACTAAAAACTATTTACAAATTATTCAATCTTAACATATTAATAACAGTATATTTAATAAAAATTGTTGTATATCTAATGAACGTAATTCTATTTTTGGGGCGTGAAGTTGAAGTGTTGCATAAGTATTCTATCGCCACTTCCTTACATCAAACAGCCTGCCTATTTTTCATTATTTCATTCTATTGCCAGTTCATTGCATCAAATGCCAGGATACAGATTATGCACATATGACATACTGCCCCAAATTTTGGAAGTTTTCTAAAACAATTCAAACATAATGTGATTTACTGTATATAATATAATATATATATACAGCTACCATATGTGTAGCTACCTACATGTTCAGTGTACAAATCTCCATCATCTTAAAGTCGCTTTTACATATACATTTTTAACACTGACTGATTTCATTCTATCGCCAGTTCAAATGCGAGGATACAGGATATTCATATATGTTGTACTTCTTGGAAGTTTTCTAAAACAATTTGAAACATAATGTGTTTTTATTGAATCTAATAATATATATACCACTCCATATGTGTAGCAACTTACATATTCAGGAGACAAATCTAAATCGTCTTCGAGTCGCTTTGCACATACATTTTTTTTAACCTGATTGAATTCATTCTATCTTCAGTTCATTATACATCAATACATCAATCAAGTTCATGCATATATGACATACTGTTCCCAATTTTAGAGGTTTTCTAAAACAATTATAAATATAATGTATTTGTTACCAAATAATATATATACAGCAACTATATATGAATCAACTTACATATTAAGAAGATAAATCTCCATTATCTTCAATTGCCTCCTAAACATACATTATTTGAGCCTGTCTAAAGATCTGTATATTGTTCATCGTTTCATTCCAATTTTGTACGACTTCTGAAATAAATATGAACATGGTATACGTGTTTGCTGTTTATATATATTTGTATAGCTATTATATTTGTAGTGACTTACATATTCAAACAATCATTCTCGATCCGCTTCTCAACCGACTAATTTAAGAGAAGTGAGGTTATGTCGACACATGGATATGTTAATGTCTTAATTTAGTAAAATAATTATTTTAACCTTGCTAAACGATCCTTATTATTGTCCTCAGATTTTGTAAGATATGCTATTTGGTTACCTCCTTTGTCATCTAAAGAAATCGACATAAAATAACGTTTCTTCATCCCAGGATATAATGCACTAAATGGAATTCAAAATCGTGAAGTAATTACATATCTATATAAATAATTATGATATACTTACGGTGTCATTTTTCTACACTTTTCTACAATTATCACTATGAACAAGTTGCTTAA